GTGTGTGTGTCCACACACCTCTGCGCGCATCATCGCATGACATCACAGCCCGATCGCATTGGAATGATTGCACCGCTGCTTCCTTTTATAGTGATCGACCAAAGACCGCCGACTGGGGGGACTTTTTTTTTTCTTTTTTTTTTGTCACGCAGGGTGCACTCGCGGGCCATCGGAACCCCTTTCTGCGTCAATGGAGACAGGCACGTCACCTGGGACCGCTTGACGGTTCTACAAAGAAGGAGGTCCCATGTCCGGCGGGCCGCGTCAACCCCCTTGACTTCCCACCGCCCTTGCCGCCATGACCCCGACCAATTTTTCGAGGACAGAGTTCCCTTCGCGCATTGCCCCAGCCACCGAGCCGATCTCCGTTGCCACGTCGCCTATACGGGCGGCCATCATCGCAGCTCCGTCAGTAGCCGCGCGAGCTAGCGTGCCGGCCGCTCTATCAAGTCCTTCACAAACGGCCCTGGTGGAATCTACCTTGCCCCTGCCATGCCGTGCACCGAAGCTCCGGAATCGGTCCCACGACCCTTCCCAGCACCAGTGCGCTGCCTCTTAGCGGAGCCGTCCGAGCAGTCTGTCCCCGTGCCTTCTGATCCTCCTTCGCTACCGCCAACCGACCCAGTCCCTCTCAGATCCTCTGACGCCATAGTGTTATCACATGTCACCGACGACTTCACCCTGTACCATTCCATTGCATCCCACAACGGTTTTTCGAATGTCAGACTCACACCCAACTTCCRCCGTTCTTCGGTGCTGATGTCAAAATACGATGGTTTCCCTGAACCATCACACGCGTCACGGATCTCCCTCACCTTCTTCACCATCTCTGCCCACTTCTTCCTGCAGTCTTCCGCGGATCTTGAATAGCCCTCCTCTCCAAGCCGCGCTGCTACCCACTCCCATCTTCTCGCCCTCGTCATGCACTGGTGGGCGCCTTCGGCGTCGGCCATCAGAGCGTTGTCCTTGCCATGTAACCTGGACGTCGCCACTCTCTCCTCCAGCGTCCAGGGGTTGTTCTTCTTCGGTGGGGCGGACGCCTTCCCCCCCTTCTTCCTTTGAGGTGCGGGTGGCCTGACGTGACCTGACACGGTGCGCACTGAAGGGGTGCTATCTCCACCTCCCGCTGTCGGCTCTTCTTCGTCCCCAAGGTCGACAGTTTCACGATCCGCACCCGCCGCGGATCTCTCCTCATCAAACTCCCAACTTTCCCCTCCCGTGTCCGCCGAGCACCCGGCCATGGTGCTGCTGTCTGTCCCGATTGTCTCCACGCACTGCGTTCCCCCCCCACCATAACCCTTCGTGTTTCTGAATGGCGATGGCGGGCGGCCCGCACCCTGCATACCACGTACCACGGGTGGTGACCTGTGAGGCACGCCGTGGCCAGGCAACGGCCGCTGGTGGACAGATGGACGATCGGCCGAACCGAAGGACATCGCCTGCCTCGGATCTCCACCGCTGAACGTCCTCGGAAGAGGCATGTTGGGGACAGGCGGCATCATCGCCGTTCGCTGGTCAGATGTGCGGAGATGGGACTGCCGAGAAGCACCCCACATCCGCTCCTCGGTTGCCGGTGTCACTCCCCGTGTGCCGACGAATGCGGATGGGTGCTTCACCACAGTGCTCGGTACAATCGGTGTCGGCATCTGCCTGGCACTGCCGGTGTAACTTTGACTGCCGTGGTTCGTGGGGGTCTGCGTGCCGCCGCCGGCATTCGCACTGCAGGAAACAGATTGCGGGCCTCCAGCCTGGGGTTGGGTGCATGTGAATCCATCTTGCGTCATGTAGCACCACGACGGCGGAGATGGCGCTGTCTCTATCCACGCTTGCATGCAGTCATCTCCACGAGGAGCTGCATTGTCGAACTGAGAGGAGGGGGCCATACCCCCATATAACTCAGTCGTGAATCCGTGTCCGTCCATGCCTATCACGCAAGTTGGAGATGCGATGCTAATGCCGCCACACCAATGCGATGCTACTGCCGCCATGCAAGGAACGCGATCACCACACTCGCCACGCAGATGACGACAACCACCAGGAAGGTAATAAAAAAACACGAAATGATGATACCTCCCCAAACCGCAGTTCGAAGAAGACAAACGCAGCCGTTCTCACTTTCAATGGCGACGATAACGACGCTCGTCCACGGAGGACTGCGCACGGGCGGCCTGCCCCAAGTTTGATCGCAGTAACCTGCAAGAGGATGAATTGCAGGTTGCACATACGAATGTGGCGACCACACGTCCGACTGATCTCTCCCGCACCCAGGCCGTTGGTGTGGTCGTGCAGCACCTTCACGAACGGTCACTTGCCCGCTGTTACATGAAACACCACAACGAAAGTCGGCTGATCCAGGCAGCAACGCTCCGCAGCCATCAAGGAAGGAGGTCGAAGGGGTGGCACGCAAGAAGCATCCGACGTCGTTCCTCACAGGAGCTGCCGCCCGGTTTGCCCACCTCGCGGGGACCCTCTGCAGAAAGGAGGTGCGTACCACACTACCCACATGGGTCGCCGACGAGTGCAGCGAGTCCACGTTCGAGAACCTTGCCACACGCACAACCTCACACGCCCGCCCATGTGCACGTCGGGAAATCGACGTCCACGACGTGGTGCAGCGCAGAAGACCACGGAAGACCTGCATGGAGCCGTCGCCGAACGCTATCCAGAGCTGGACGAGTCGAACAGCCACCCGCCGTGTCCTGCATGTGCGATGGCAGACGTGAATGGCCGTCCTTCGCCCGTGCATGAATTCACGACGCGGACGTCGGCTGTCTATGCGCGGTGCCTCTTCCAGATTCGAATTTGAAATTTCGAATTGGGGGGCCACCACCCGCCCGTTTTTTTCCAAGCGCGCACGGACCCGCGCCCACGGGCCCAAGGACCCGGTGCAACGCGAGGGACGCCACACCTACGTGGACCAGGATCGACCGCCGGAAAAAAACGGACAGTCGCTGATCCGTTTTTTAAAACCAACCTTGGAAAGTCGGCCGCACTCGCCACCCCTCGACCTCTGCTATCGGCACATTTTCGCGGTGAAAATCGCTCCGCGACCACTTTTCCAAGGATGGAACCATGTGGAAACGGAATCCGTGACTCTTCCACGCCACGAAATGCGGGCAGTGGGGTCCCGGATACTTGCTTTTGGAAGACTTCCCGGTTATTCCAGGCCATCTTCCGCCCGCTGTGGGGTCCGGGAAACGGCCTCCTGGAAAAGTTTTTCCTTGCCGCTTTTCTGTGGGGTCCCACCCTTAGGCTTGGACCCCACAGGTTTCCGCCTGGAAAAGCAGTTTTCCCTTGGAAAACGGGCGAACGATTTCGGAAACCTTGGAAATGCTTTTTCCGGGAACCCATCGCAGAGGACAAAATGCGCTTGGAAGACCCTTTGGAAATCAGTTGAGCCAATGGCTGCCCTTTTCCGTTGGCACTGGTTTATTTTGTTCTTTTTTCCATTTTTTTTTTGTTTTTTTATTTGTGGCACTCTTCATCTCTATTGGCTGCTGCCTTTTCCGAGACGTTTCCAGGAACGACATGCCAATGCGCTTGGAAGACCCTTTGGAAATCAGTTGAGCCAATGGCTGCCCTTTTCCGTTGGCACTGGTTTATTTTGTTCTTTTTTCCATTTTTTATTTGTTTTTTTATTTGTGGCACTCTTCATCTCTATTGGCTGCTGCCTTTTCCGAGACGTTTCCAGGAACGACATGCCCTCCCCCCTACCCTCAACAGTCTGCACAAAATCGCGGCGACGTTTCCTCCCGCGGTGGTTTCAAGGTCGGAAACCGAGTGAAAACACGGCAGGGGGCGTTTCCGAGGCCGCGTTTCCGGGTGTGTGGGGTTCCGGAAGCAGGCTTTTGGAAAAAGAAGACGGCCTTCCACGGCCTTATTCTTCTACGATTTTCTACAAATTGAGGAAAGGAAACGAAAAAAGCGTTTGGTCATTTGAGACCACCTCTGGAGGTGGTCTCAAAAAGGGTACCCCCGCGGCCTAGCAGGCCGCTGACATTTGGTCACGATTTGAGGTATGCCCTCAGTTTCTCTCGTCCAGTCCGTATACGGTTTCGAGCGCTCGGAAATCCCGAGCTGTTGACGTTCCCGGTAGTTCAGCTCTTTGTCGTCCATCGCCTCGGGGACTCGGTATTTTCTTTCCCTTCTCCTCTCCGTGGTCTCGCCGCCATCGCGAACGTCTGTTTGCCTTTCTTTGTTCTTCTTCGTCGTAGCCAGTCATCTTTTCGAATACCCAACCGACCGTCCGGTTTTTTGACGTGGGATTGGACTGCGTGCGTTTTCTCTCTTCCCCGGGCACGGGCTTTCCGCATCTTGGCGGTAGTCTTCTTGTCGTTTTGTTTGCTGCGTTACTGTACCTGCCCGCCTGGCGAAGTGATTGAGAGCTAGGAGAATCATGTCGGGGATGGGCCTAGATGAGCATTCGGCGAAATTGTACAGGATAAGGAAGACGGTAATGCAGATGTTGAGAGACAGAGAGTATTTAGTGTCAGACGCTGACCTGACGATGACCAAGGATGAGTTCCGAGAAAGATTCGGTGATCAGCCCAAGAGAGACGATCTCAGCATCTCCAAGCCGAAGGAGAAGGATCCTTCGCAGCAGGTTGGCTAACTTGGACCTGTTCTGGTACCCCCCTCCCTCCCTCCCTCCCTTGGTCTCTCGTGTCTCCCTTCGAGCTCATTTGCCGCCGTTCTGCTCTCGTTCCATAGCTCCCTTCCCTCCCTCTATCTTCCCCTCTCTTCTTCCCTCCTCTCTTCTTCCCTCCTCTCTTCTTCCCTCCTCTCTTCTTCCCTCCTCTCTTCTTCCCCCTTTCCTCCATTCCTCCTTCCCTCCGTAGGTGTCCCCTTCCCTGCTCCCTCCTCTCCCGTCGGCTTCCGCCCCTTTTGCCGGTGTCATGCTCTCGTTCCATATCCCCCTACCCTTCCCCTCTCTCCTCCGCTCTGTCCTCCCCTCTCTTTTGATCCGTGCCCCCCTTCCTCTCTCTCTCTTTTGACCCCGGCCCCCCTTCCTCTCTCTCTCTCTCTCCTGCCCCCTGCCCCCCTTCCTCTCTCACTCCTTCCCTTTCTCCTTCCCACTTTTCTGCATCTGCATTCTCTCGCCTGCTTCTGCGTCTGTTTGTCCTTCCCTCCGCTTCTCTCCTTCTCCCTTGTACTCTCCGACTCCTCTTCGTCATTTCCCCGCGTTGTCACCCCCTATCCCACACGACTGCCGTTTTGTACCTGCGGTCAGATCCTGCACGATCCGACGCTCAGCCGGTCTCCCCTCTCTCCCTGTCTCTCTTTCTCTCCGTCTCTCTCTCTCCCTCTCCCTCCCCCTCCTCTCTCTCTCTCTTCTCCCTCTCTATCCCTCTTCCTTTCTCTCCCTCGTTCGGAGGATTGGCATCTGTTTTCATGATATGAGGGAGAACCTCGAGGGTGACCGAGCTCTTTCGGCGGCAACATCCCCATGTGAATTGTGGGAATTAGGAAATGCCCTTTTTTCCTTATGTTTCTCATTTCTCATTTTAGTGATTGTTCTTCGAAAAGATTCCTTCCGAAGTGAATGGTTTCCCCGCTGTTTCCCCACAGTGTCAGAGCC